CTTGTAGTTTTCAAGAAGAAGTCGAAAAAGTAAAACATTGACACGGACGACGACGACGGACAATCACTCATATGATAAGCTCCGCTCGACAAAGTCGACAGCGGAGCTAAAAAAAGAAAAAAAAAATCCGACCAACCAACCTAATTTTTTTATTTTTTTGACTTGAGGGTAATATTAGTTTGTTTGTTTTTGGCCTAAGGCATGTCTAAAAGTACACACTTACCTGTGAGTTCCAAAAAAGACAGGATACTTTCCAGATGATCATCCAGATTCAAGACATGTGCCACATTAGTTTTACCAATAGGCGTAAAAGTCATAGAGTACATTGTATGTAAAATGCTTATGATATCCACATTATCTCTTTCAGTTTGTAATGAGCCTTTTCTTAAAAAATCTCTGATTTGATCAATGTTCTGCAAAGTCTGTAACTGGTAAATCATAGTAAGACCCAACTGCTGGGTTTCATTGTCTTCCAGAGATTCATCATCATCATTGTTTGTTAGTATCTGTACAAGAACCTTGCAAATGTCAATATTGTGCGCAAGAAATAACAAACCTAAAAAGTAAAAAAAGATGTGGAAAAAGTAAAATGAATCAACCATTTACTGATTTATATAGTTTTTTTATGGTAGTTATGCATGAAACCTCTTTGCTGTATTGTTACATTATTTTTTTACAGGTCGATAAAGATCACATCAAAGAAGTTGTAAACTGTCTTAACGATATAATGTAATTGACGTGTAATAATACCCCCCATAATATGCAATAATGACCTCATATGACATGCAATTATACCCCCAGTGAAATTTAAATCATGATATATGAGTAAACAATTGTTTTCAATTGTCAACCATCCCAAAAAAATGTATAATTTTCAAATACTTAGATCATGAATAAAGCCTAGACTAAGTATCTGGATTACCTTTCTTTGTTTTTAAACACACTAAAAGTAGTGTACGAACAGCATCCATAATATCCAAGTTACCAGCTGTGGCAGGACAAGATACTAACAATAGTAAACTCTCTAATAACTTCCTGCAAGAAACAAAATGATTATAGATTATGAAGAAAGGTCCTGGTGCATGAGTTTTACAGTACAAATGGATACTGATAATGAGAAGAGTGTTACACTTACCTTGTATTGAACATATGGAATAACACTGGATATGGGTCTGCTGTACATGGTGGACCTGTTATCTTGGCTGAGGTAGGAAATGCCTTGATGGGTGGCTGTACCTGTAAAGAAGTACCAAAAAAGATATATAAAATGAAAAGCACACCATTATAAATAGTGTGCATCGGTTACCAACTTGGTGCTGCTGAAAAGTCATGTCAAACAAAAAAACAAGTACTTCCATATGCATGAATAACAATTATGGCTACTGTATATCAATATACTTGTATAAAAACCACTCTACCTGAGTACAAGCATCAGACATTGGGGTATTGAAATGATGACAGGATACATAACATGACCAATACAATAAAAAAACAGAAATTGTTCATAACATTGGATATAAGCTATGGCTGATGCATCTTATCACCATTCAATCCTAATTTTGAGACTTTTGAAAATCTATGATAATAAACTACCGTATCTGTCTTAAGTGTTGTGGGCAGACCTTAAATACAGGTCTTTCTGCGCTTGTGCATTCCCATGGTAACAGATTGAAGTCATGGAGACAGCCAATCACTGATGACACAGAATTCTGTGCTGACCATATAGTCGCATACAGATTCGCATAGATAATATACTCAGAATCAATGGCTGGATTCAAGGTTACTCAGCTTTGCATCATAAAAATGTGTTTCAAACATAATGCCTGAAATCACAGTACACATGTATCCTTAACTTACTATTGTATGAGGTGCATTCTCCATACTATAAGTGATTTCCTCAATACATTCCATTATAGTCTCTATATCATTAGAACTTGCAATATAAATTGTTCCTGATGAGATGATTGAAGTATCTGTTTCCATGCTAATACTTTGATTATCACTCCTCTGTTGAGTGTTAGGTGATGATTTGTCCAATGTGTCCATAAATGTCATTTTTTGAGGACTTTCATCATGTGTTTGGGGAATGTGTTCAATTGATTCTGTGTCCTTTGATTGTGTTTCTTTTGTACTCTCTGGTGGAAGTGGAGTGCTTTCCATAATTCTGATCAGTTGGAAAAAAAAAAAACTGTTACCGGTATGCCTTTATACTGAATTAAATCATACATACATGAATACGCCTTTATACTGAATTAAATTAGCAGCATTGAATGAGCAATCATTATGTGAAACTAGAGAATGTGTTACTTGCCTGTCAACAGTCATGTATAAAACTCCAAGTACTTCAAAGATGTGTACTTTTCTAAGTAATGCTGTCAGTGCTGTCACTACACGGACTGTCTGATTGGATAACATTAACTTTAAAGCTCTTTGATAACATGTCAGCTCAACTTTGGATTGATGGCTACTCACAAATTTTACCAATCCCATTTCACAATTTGTTGCACTGTCCAATGCTACAAGAAAATTGTACATTAGTTACAGACTAGAGTGGAATGCATTTTCATAAGCTTCAAATTACATACTAGTAACACAGTAATACCTGTTCAAATCAAACCACGTGTAAACTGTCCTATCTATCCCAAACACCTATTTGAATCCGTTCAAATGCACTACCTTTATAGATAATATATAAATAGCTTTGTTCTGACAACCATTTCAACAGTGGATGTAAAAAACACACGCTAAAACCATTCACTACATGACTAGTATCTCACCCACTGGTGTCTGGCATAGACACTTCTCACTGTTGAAAGAAATTTTCATGTTTTAAGCATAAAATACAATTCTTTCATAAATTCTGCTATATAATATTTGGTATTACCTTGTAAAGCAGTCAACTTCAATGAAGAGGACATATGATCAGCAAATAGCAAATCAAACAAGATTCCCTGCACGTTCTTTTCCTGAGTTAAACAAAATACAGTGAAATTTATTGAAAGAAATTCAACTGTATAAAAGTGTATTTATAGTTTACAGTCAAATCATGAAACATACTAATACGCTCATTTTTTTAAAAAAAATGACATTTTCTTGTTAATATCATCTTTAATGTACATTGTACCGGCATTTGTTACTCAACTATCCATCAACATTATCTAACACATGACAATATAGTTTGTTTCATATTTAACAGTATGAAGAATAATTTATTTCTTAAAGTGCCTGTGCAATGCCCACCCTCACGTTTCCCATTTTAGATCTGTGTCCCACTGAAATGGGCAGTTATTGATTTTTTTGCTGAAAATGATTACTCGTATCCAAGTTAATTTGGGATATTTCTCCTGTTTTAGCCACGCCCACCTATCCTGAAACGGTCGACTGTTTCCGGATTTCCGACTCTCGCCGAAAGTGCGCCACCAAATGCCAAAAAGTCATACCCCTGAGCCGTAATAACACTGGTCATTCAGTATACTTTTAAACGATATACATTTTTCGATCGGCGTTTTTTTTTCTTTTTTTTTTCGAGAGAGAGTTTTTAGATGTGTTATGGGCAGTTGCAGTGAAACGTATAGTCATAGTGTAAGTATTCACACGTTTCTAATCGATCCGAAAGTGCGACATCAGTGGACGAAAGCCACTTAACCTCAGCTTCTTTTTTTGGAAAAACTGTCCTCGTCCATGAAAAAACAACTAGGTTTAAAGAGAAACGCCGACAACATAAACCTGGCGCAACACTTTTGAAAGAAATAGAATCCGGACCATGATCACCGAGGCAGATTTCAGAAGAGAGAGAGAGACGGCAAGTGTTTCAAATGAGTTGACTTTTTTTGCGATTCTGATTATCGTTTTATAGAGACCATTTTAGTCCCTGTTAAGTAAAGAGTAGCAATAATTTTGACAGTGACATGAAAACGAAGCGTCGGACGAACAGGAAATTACACAGC